TGGCTACATAGTTATAGGTCAAATAAATGTCGAAAATTAGAGGTGTTATTACTAGAAAGCAAAAAACCAAAGAACAAGAGGAGAAATAAGAACAATTATATATTGATAGAAAAGAGAGAGCAAAGGCTACCTCTAGTACTAGCCCTGCGATAGGAAAATGAACTGTTAATATTGAAGGAACAGTTGGGTCCAAAGAGTTATTGTTCAGTGAACTTGCACGATGGAGAACGTCTAGAGCTTCTGATAGACCGATTCCCCACAACCGTTTCAGTCGACGGCGTGTGGAACACCTGGTCCTTGTGGTCCGCGTGCTCTGTGACGTGTGCCTGGGGCACCCAATGGCGGAACCGGACGTGTGAGGGTCCCTTCTACGACGGTCAGCCATGTGAGGGGGAGGACAACCAGACACAGGCCTGCCACCCGCGAAAGTGTCCAGGTAGGGCGCAAAAACTTTGTCTGTGGTACCTCCATGTTTACCGTGCATTCCGCAAGAACCTCTTCTTTGTTACCAAACGTTACAAAGATTACCGTACGACATTCCGCCAACACCTCGGATTTATTATCTTCACGTATACCTTACATTTCGCAAAGGTCTCGTCCTTGCTTTACTATGTATACCTTATATTTTATGAAAGTCTCCTCTTTGTTGTCTTCACGTACACCTTAAAATTCGCTAAAGTCTTTTCTTTGCTACCTTTATAACGCATACCTTACATTCTGCAATAACCACGTCTGTGTTATCTTCATGTCTACCTTACATTTCACCTGGTCAACCTGCCGCTACATGAGATGGTTGTTACACATTGTAGAGAGCTGGGGTCCATATTAGTTTGTTACTTGTTACGTAAAGCTACTAGTAGTTATAAGAGTAAGAACAATGACGATGTCCAGGTCAACTAAAGAGGAGAATATTTCTTAAGCGATATAAAAGAAATACAGGTTTAGATGACTTGTGCCTTTTTCTATGGCCAATGAGATCAATTCTGGCAAGCCCAGTACAATCAGGGATGAGATAATCACCCAGAAGCCGGGTGTGTCACTGTTAGAGTTAGAGGAAATTGCCAAGGACAGCCAGGCATGGCGTCGACTGCTCTCTGCCTTGTGTACGAGTACCTAGCGGTACCTGGAGAGAGTAAGCAAGTAAGTAATTAAGTCCGTCTGTCAATCAATCAATAAGTCAGTTAGTCAATCCGTCAATCAGTATGTTAGTCAATCAGTCAGTCGGTTGGTGTGTCAGTTAATCAGTCAGTCTGTCAGAAAGTCAGTCAGTCATTCAGTCAATCAGTAACCTCTGGCATTGATAAATAACGAAACTGGGGATAAGGGAGAGAGAGAGAGAGAGAGAGAGAGAGAGAGAGAGAGAGAGAGAGATTCTCTCGAGGAACAATACGCATGTCTGGCCAGACCCAGGTACGTACCGTCCTCGACAAATGTTTAGTATCCTCTAGACTGCATGGTCAAACTGTGACAGTGGCCGTTTCGTTGTCACACTTCTCTTTGCTTGGAACCAGGTGATTGCATCTGATCTCCATTCTTTAGGAGCACATTTAGAGCATGATACACTTTGCCTGGAAGGTAGACAAACAGGAAGTAGATCTTAGAGCAGAATGCATGATACAGCTTTGCCTGGAAGGTAAACAAAGAGGAAGTAGGTCTTAAAGCAGAATGCATGATACAGCTTTGTCTGGACGGTAGACAAAGAGGAAGTAGGTTGCCCGAGTACTTCTTCCCTCCCTTCAGATCTTGACTTCCCTGATATAATACAAAGGAGAAACATCGTCAATACGTCTGGAATCAAGGAAGGTGTAAGGATTAAGTAGGCCCACACTGCCATATTATTATTTAGATGCCGCATTTTTAAGATCATAGTTCATACATGTCTAATTTAAAGGCACATCGCTGGAAAATGTTTTTAAAAAGACAGTTTGGAACGAAAAAGGGAACCTATGGAATGTGGGGGAGGGGGGAGTTTTTCTTATGAATGAGCCAATTCGAACTTAGTATGTTACTTGCTTGTGAATTGCTTCTCTTTCCCTGCATTTGTATCTGATATTACATTTATTCTTACATAATACTTTCTTGAATTCTTTTAATGCACGTATGTGTTGATGTTTCTTCCGATGTTATCCAACAATATTATGCCTGTGTAGGGATATCAGAGTTCGATATGTACTTTAGAAACAAATGCCACCCCCCCCCCCCCCGGACCTTTTCTTTCTCTTTAGCTCACGAGCATGTTAGAACAAGTCGTCTCAGTGTAACTTACACCTTAAGAATGTCTTCTCGTTTTCTTGTTCCATGTACTTTACGACTTTTATTATCATAATCTAAATATATTTTTCCTCACATTAATGGTGCAATGTTTTATGTGTTTACTTTTTTTTACAGGGAGTCAATTTTATTCGAATATTTGTTCTTTTGGTAGACAGCAAATGTGCATGCAAAGTTGTTCCATCTCTATTATACACAGTGATTGTTTATCCAGAAGTATCTCCCCAGCACTGTAAATGTCAACGAAACGAAATAAAAGTAATCCGCATGGGAAAACCTATGAGAATTGAGTTACATATCACAGATATGTCGATGGGAATTGAATTACACGTTAGAGATGTAACAGATTAGATTGGAAAATGTCCATTCTGCTATTAGAAGCTAACAGCAAAATTGTTCTTGGTCTATTAGATAATCATCTTCGGTGGTTCGGACAATTGAATGACTTTTGAGACAAGACGAAAGACGTTTGAGAAAAGACGAATGACGTTTGAGTATGAGAAAAAATGAATGATGTTTGAGAAAAGACGAACGAAATTTTGAAAAAAAGACAAACGATGTAAGAAAAAAGACGAATGACGTATGAGAAAAGACGAATGGCGTATGAGACAAGACATGAGAAAACCCAATTAATGACGTGTGAGAAAAGACGAATGACGCGTCAGATGCTTGCCGTTCTCAGTTGACGGCCATTGGATGGACTGGGAGAGCTGGCAGGCGTGCAGTGTGTCTTGTGGTGGCGGCATGCGCATGCGCGAACGTGACTGCTACCAGGGGCTGCACGGCGGCAAAAACTGCACAGGCAGCGACACAGAAGACGGAGTGTGTAACGAACAGTCCTGCCCAGGTATCGTTAGCCTAGGACACATGTGTCTGACGGCGCCCCACTGTGTGCACTTTCTGTTTCCGTTCACAGGAAAAGCTGGTTACTGGGACATACACGACAATAATTTTGTTTTCTGCGGAAGTAGAGGTGTCACGAGACATCCACGTCTCCGGGAAAGGGAAAACAAGAGAAAAAAAGTATGTTCAAAGTTATATTCACATCAATATAATTTGCTTGGCTTATCTAAAAGTAAAGTCAAAATAAAGCTGCAGCAGTGCCCTATAAAACGGGGGAT